CCCCCAGTTCACCACCCCTCCAGGGTGGTTCCGACACCCTATGATGTCCCAAACAAGGTCAGAATTCAGCCCGGGGGACAGAGCTCTGTCCTCCTGCTGCTGTCTCGTCGCAACGTCAAGCCGGAAGTCCCTATTTACCTATTTTCTAATGTAGTCTATGTAATTTAAGCATACGGAAGTGTAATGCCATGTATACATAAGATAATATACTGCTCTTTGAAATTAAATTAACTCAAGAGGAAAAGTGCTTTCTTCCTTTGGATATCTCAAATGTTATCTTTTATTGCTATACCCAGATCTTTCTCCCATATCATTTTTGAACCTGAGCAAGATCCATACTCAGTATTTTATAAATATTCAAAACCATTCCATTAATACTATCCTATGAAATTAACAGTCCAAAAGGAGTGAGAGGTCTTGTCTGCCTGGCCATCAACACCAGTTTGAAAAGAAAAATGAATTTTTGTAATTCATTTTACAATGCTTTAAAAGCTCCCATAACTGCTCCATAGATTTGGGAGCTGATTTTTTTCATACAGATTACTCAAATAATACATGTTACATTCTTTCCATTGTTTATTTTGAGCTGCTTCCTCCTCATCATAATATAATGGATATCTTTTTAAAAGGTGTTAAGTGAGAAAGGTGAAGAAAACAGACTCTTCTGCGTTTTTTTCTAACTTTAAGATCATTTCTGAGGAAGCAGCTGCTGTTCAATCAACAATTTGCATTTCCTCACTAAGAAGAGATGTTTTCCAACTCCAATAAAAATCACATTGTAATTTGAGTATCACCAATTCTGATCAATTGTCTAAAATGAAATGCTACATAATATGCTTTTAGATTTGGTGTACTCAATTCTCCGTAGTTTTCATAGTGAAAATGTAAATTGCTTGCTGCTCTGGGTTTCTTGCTTTCCTGAATATACATATTTTTGCCAGTATTTAATGGAAATATCTGATAGCCTCATAGGAAGGTCTCAGAATGCTCATTCTAAGCAATAGTGATATTTTAATTGTCACTAGGCATCCTAGGAATGTCAAACTTAATTTCTGCCCGTTTTGTTGAAAGGAAGGCTTAATCACATGGCTTACCTCTATTCTCTTTCATTGTTGGGACATATTGTCTGCCCTGGTCTGCATTTTCAAAGCACGTCCATTTTCATGATGACCCGTTTAGTGGTGTGTAGCACAATCTTACATACCGTATTTTACCATGTATAAAATGAGATTTTTTTTACTTAATTAGACCAAAAATTAAGGGTTGTTTTATACACAGCAGGCAACCGCTTTCCCTGCCTTTTGCGAAGGCACAGAGTAAAGCAGCCGTGAAAGGGCGACAGGATCAAAGGGGTGCCAGCGCACTGCCCTTTCATGGCTGCATTACCCATTTCCTAAGCTCCGCAGCCGGGAAAGAGTGGGAGAATCAAAGGGACTTACCCATTTCCTAAGCTCCGCAGGGCTTAAGAAGCGGGAAACGCAGCCAGGAAAGGGCAGGAGAATCAAAGGGACGTGAGCGTGCAAATTTTCTAATTTGGGGGTTAGAAAAGGGGGGGTCGTCTTATACTTTGGGTCTTGTAAACGGAAAAATATGGTATGTCTGCTTAAAAATTCTCCTTTCATTAAGCAAAATTTAGACTGAAGTCTAGCTCATTTTCATTGCTATATTCTAAATGTGTATATATCTTTGAGCTTGATGAGAAATACTGTAACTTGTATTTTTAAAGGACCTTTTATTCAAACAGTTTTTCATAGCCATTTGCTTTATGATACAGAAGAAAATCGAACAGTGTTGTAAATTATCATCAGAACAAAGGAAATCTGCAATTCACAGAGATCATTTGTGGAACGGTGCATATACTGACATTGTAATCAGATTTTCATCTCTTCTTCACAGCACCATCAGCAATAACCATTATGTCCTAAGCACTGCATGAATTAATTAATTTGCAGTTAAACTCTAAACTAGCTTTTCCCAATCTCATGCCTATCTCAACTACAACTTCCATCATCCCTGACCAGTGCTCATTTTGGGAAAGGCTGATTGGAGTTGTAGTCCTAAATATTTTAAAGTCACATTGTCGAGAACAGCTGCAGGGCATCTACTCTTGTCTTGTGGCACATCTGAAGCAATAAGGATACATACATCCTTATCATATCTTCCAGTTCTATCCACTCACCTGAAAGTCTAACACTACTTTGTACAAGTACAAACTTCCTATAACATTATATATAATTTACAGCCCAAAAGAACAGTTATTAGTTACTCTGCTGGTGCTCCAAATGCTTTGTGTGATTAAAGTTGGCATCTGCCACATGAGAAATGCATTTTTTACCTCAGGTAGTAAATCTTCCTAGAGAAAAAGCAACCACGACCTCTACTCTTAAAATTTGCCTGAGAACTATACATATAGCAGGAACTTTACAGATATGTACATATTTAAAAGCTGCAATTTGAAAATTGATACAAAGGATTTCTCCCTTTTTCATTAATAAGCAAGAGCCATCAATCGTCAATGACAACTGCATTGGTGGCCCATTATCTTGAATGGTGATCAGGATTCCTGTTGTTTCTTTTTTCCCCTCATCTTGAATTCAGCTAGTAAGGGGTCTGCAACTGTTGCATTTGAAGGACGTCATACGTGTCCCTTGTTGCTGCACTGAGACCCTAGCAAAGATAAAGGATGAGATGAGAAAAGTTAAATTGTGAGAGATGCACTTCTAGGTCCTTAAGCATGAGTACTGTGCCTTGTGATACATTATGTGCTACCAAGTTTTATCTTACTTACAACAATCCTAATAGAGTTTTCAAAGTATGTGAAATATTCAAGGATTGGTTTCAGCAGTGCCAGGTACCCAGTGTGGTGCAGTGGGTAGAATGACATACTAGGACTCTGGAAATCAGAGTTCAAATCCACACTCAGCCATGGAAATTGATTGGGGAAGTGAAACTGGTAAAACCACTCCTTAAATATCTCACTTACCTTGAAAGCCCTATTATGGTCACAGTAAATCAGTCCCAACTTCATGGCACATAACTAGCTAACTTCAGCAGAACCACTACCAGTGAATTTCCATGGCCAAGCAAGGATCTGAACCCGCCTTCATGAGGTCTGTGCAGTCCTAGTCTGTCAGTCTGACGCCTGCACCATACTAGCCCTTTTGAATGGTTCTGTTCATACCCAGAATACTTAATATGGAGATGGCCATTCATTTATGGGAGAGAAAGACTGCTCCCTGCCTGTCAGTTGTGCTAACTAACACAGAGGGAAAATTAAATTACAGAGAATTATGTAGGAATAGTTAAGAAAATTGTTGTCCTCCTAAATCAGTGGTTCTTAACGTGGGCGATAATGCCCCCCAGGGGGCGATTTCATTTTTCAGGGGGGTGGTAGAACGAAAAGGGGCGACAGGGGGGTGCTGGGGCAGAAGGGGGGCCGTAGGGGGTCACTGGAGCAAGCCAAACCTGTGAAGATGGCTGCAACCTTTTTACAATGTGCATGAATATATATTTTCCTCCAATCTTAATTTAGTTTCAGAGTTTTCATCTTGAAATTTTTAGTTCCTGCATTGCGGTTTGTTTTTATACTTTTTTATATTTCTTTTTCTGTCTTAAAATTCACTTGCAACTAAATCATTAAATGTTACTTTTTGGGGGCATTTCATTTTCTTGGAATTGAATTTTGTTTTCAGGTGTCATTGGATTTAAGTGTCTTAAATAAAGTCATCACCGCGGGGAGGGGGGGCAATGATAACTTCCTCAATGGCTCAAGGGGGCGTTTCTTTCAAAAAGGTTAAGAACCACTGTCCTAAATGATCAATGTTGTGACTTTGAACAACACATGATTTTTAAAATACATTTTGCCTCCTAGGTTGGGTATAAACTGTGAGCTGCTACAGCAGTCTGGAAAGGGGATAGGGCATATTTTAGCCCTACAGATATTGTTGGACTGGAATGTCCATTGTCCTTCATCACTGCTTACATAGGCTGATGGCAGCTGCAGTCCAACATCATCTGGAGGGGCCATATATTAACCATCCTGAATGAAACAATATTTGATGGAGAACATTTGTAGCTCTTATCAAATTGATCTCCTCTTAGAAGTCTCAAAATAGTGAGAGGGATATTTGCATGTGCTTCTTCCTGATGTAAACGTGCATGGAATAGACAATGTGTGCAGACACACAAACAGCCCATTGTTCATGCAGAACTGGATCCAAGGAGAATGAAGACCACCTTCATGCAGATCTCACACAAACACACACCACTTGCTATCATTGAGTGTAATGGAATCTACAGGAAGCAGTTGAACATTCCTTACCTGATAAACAGTATCAGTGCCTTTGCCACGGCGCCTCTGCAAAAGAAAGAAAGAAAAGCACCGAATTAATAGATACTCTTTTCCCCAAAATTCTATTTGCTTGCAATAACAACCATCCACCCACAGCACATTGCACTGCCAGATCTGTCTTGTGATTGCTCTCTTGCTCTCCCTAACAGGGGCTGCATCTTCTTACATGACTACCATTATCATGTGACATCAAGTCAATTCTAACATAACAGTTCTAACAAAAATCATAACTCTAACCATCAAGTCAATTCCACCATTTTCAGGGGTTTCCACTTAGAGAGTATTCAGAATGTGTTCTCTTCTCAGGGCAGTCTGAGACTGTGCAGCTTGCCCAAGGCCACACAAACCAGCTCTATTCCTAGGAAGCACAGTGGGGAATTAAACGCCCAACCTCTGGCGCCACAGCCAGATACCTAAACCACTGTGCTAGAGGAGTCAGAATTAAGAATAATAAAACACAGAAGTGTCTCAGAATCAAACCACAGGATATACTTCCAATGAATTTAGTGAGGTTATCCTTCAAGTGCTGAAACACCTGTTTCTTGTAGCACATGTTTTTCATTAACAATTGATCTTGAATTTAGTGTGCTTGGTAACTTGGTCATTGGATAGTAAACACAGACTTAACTTGTGAAGGCATATATCTCTGAAGAAATCCTATAGATGGAAGGAAATTTAAACAAAAGAAAATAAGTATTCTCCTTAACTTTTATTTTGATCCACGTCAATAATGAGAATTTGGAGTAGCCATGATAACTGAGGGATTCTGGGAGATGTAGTACAAAAAAGGGGAACTTTTCAAAATTGTGGAAATAATAGTAGGGTGATTAGGATTAGGAATTCTGATGTTGGAGTGGGTTGATAGCACTTTTTCTTTTACAGGGCTAGAGTAAAGATTGGGCAAAAACACAGACCAAGAGCAGTATGCTGCCTCCCAGGTATCTTGGCATATCCACACTGGCGGGAGATATGCTTACCTCTCCTTTCTTTCCAATTTCACTATACGCTTCACCCATCTTATCCCTCTGCAGAGACTGGCCATGGAAAAATCAGAAAATAAGTGTCACCGTAAGCAAAAGTAATGCATGTTGCGTATGCTTACTCCCACGAGTCTTTGCTCTAAGTATATCATGTCCCTGCACCTCTTATCCCCCACTGCTAGAATGGTCCATTCAAAAAGTATAGAAGTGTGTTTCTGAGAAAGGGGCCCCTTTCAATGAAGTAAGGCTCAGTTTGGATGTAGATACTTCCTTGCTTTCAAGAGACACATAGATAGTGCTGGGAAGAGGAGGGGTGGGGGTAACTATTATTTTAAAATGCCGTTGCCACTCCAACAAACCTAATTTCACCACCACCAAATGGAAGAGGCATTGATTCCAGTGCTGAAAAGGTGTCCTTTGTGGGCAAACACCAAATTCACTTTTTGAAAGCAGTGGCACCTGCAGCTAGATCTTCAACAAAGGTTTTAGAGCAAATGGTTTTCTATGTGAGCAAAACATATTTAAACTACCCAAACAATTTAGGGCTTTAAAGTTAAGAACTAGCACATTCTTAACTTGGCTTTATTATATATCTGAATCCTGTAATGTATCATAAATTAAGTTACCTGTGAAATCATTTGAGAGAGAGAGAGAGTTCTCAGATGATTTCACAGGTAACTTAATTTACAATACATGAAAGGATTCTAATCTAGACAATACCCAGAACAGATAACTGTAGTAAAAATTACTTTCTATCTTTCATAAGGACAGGTGGTTTACTACTCATTTCATAAGTGCTTTTCTATGAGCCTATGTACTGTATTTACCCTTCTTATGATTTAGTGAAATCAAAAGTACAACCAGTTGATGGCCTTTTCATTTAAGCTGTAAAAGAACTACTATTGCTGTAAGCTAGCCTAAGATCTAAAAGCAAAGATGACTACTTCAAAGAGGGAAGAACGCTACAGAAAAGAGATACAGCAGTTAAATAGTAGCAGGAAATAGGGGAAGTGAAATCAACATTGTAAGATACAAAATTTGATATTAATCATATCTGCACTCCCAATGGCAAAGAGACTTAAGGGTGCAACTATGCTGGAAAGCTGGACTGGAAAAATTAGGTTTTGCTGCAATTTGATTTGCAGCCTGTATTACATTAGAAATTGTGATCAGTGCTCACATAGGGGCTACAGATTGATTCAGGAGTTCACTCTTCATACTGGATGTGATGCAAGTTGCAATCCAGCCCCCCCACCCCTTTTTTCCTTCATCTGGTCCCACTTCTGGCGATTGTTTCTTGGTTTTTGTGAAGAGCTTCAGACTACTACATTTCTGAAAAATGTTCTATAGAAAGTTAACATGGACAGGTCCTTCACAGTCTCAGAATACTGAACATGAAAAGTTTGAACAGTAATTTTGTAGAATACAACATGATTCATAACTCAGATTTATTCCATTCAGGATCACCACTACCCATCACCTTTACAAGAGAAAGCAGCTTCACTGCAACCATAATCATGGTGTTTTGCTTTTGCATGTTCTCACCCCACCCCATTCCTGAACATCACACCCCAACTGCCTTTGTCACCAAAACACCAGCAGCAGACACCCCCACTATTTTTACAATAGCATATCACAACTAACAGCATGGGGGAAAATTCGTTCAAATCCTTCTGGCTTGAAAAAGTAGCAGCTGCACAACAGCAGAGCAAAAATAAATCCACTTTGGTATTAAGAAGGGCTGAACCAATTCGAATCATCCTTGTGTCACGCTGTGAGCAATTCGAACTGCTAGGTTGGCGGGAGCTGGGACAAGCAACGGGCGCTCACTCCGTCGCGTGGATTCGATCTTACGACTGCTTGGTCTTCTGACCCTGCAGCACAGGCTTCTGCGGTTTAGCCCACAGCGCCACCACGTCCCACTACGTGTCTTATAAGTGGAGCAAATCCTGTGGTATTTTACCATGTGGTCGCACTTGGATTTATGCCAAGTGCACTACAACAGAGATTACAAAGTGAAGCCGATATACAGCTGATGACAGGAAGAACTTGTGCACACCTGCACAGAAAATGGTTGTACGCAAGTGCAATATAATCTTTGTAAAATTATTCTTGTGCAGGTTGAGTGAAAAGTTAATGTGGCACAGACATGCAGTGAAGTGCAAGGTATTTGCAAAACTGCTTTCAGAGGCAACTAGGATGAATTGTACATGAAAATGTGTGGTCACTGCAGAAAAGTGCCAAACTCACGTTTTCCTTCTCCAGCTACAGCTAGCAAAAAGGCAATATGTTCTTCTAGAACAATCAGTTAGTGGTTTTACTTACAGTGTAAACTTTGTCCTGAGCTTGCTTTCTTCTATGCTGAAAAGAAAAGAAAAGAAAAGTTCTCCCAACCATTCTTGTGACCAAATTCAAAATATTCTGAGATTCATTGGGAGGATTTTTGTAGAACAAATCATACAATGGTCATAAAACTTTCAGCTTTTGAAATGAAACCACTGGTCTTTTACAGGCCTGATACGGCTCTGAGGAAAGGTCAGTAGTACCGCGTCAGTATCATTTGTCAAAGCACAGGACGTTGCATGCATCTCAACAGCTTTCTGAGGTATTCTGTTATATTTCTGCTCCAGAATTAGAATGGAGTGAATATAGCAAAAAGGAGAGAGGAACTGGTGAATACCTGTTTTCTCCCTCCCATTTCAATGTCCGCATCTGCCTTTCCAACTCCTAGTGAATCATATTCATCTCTGCGTCCGGCAGATAATTTCTGAAATGAAAAAAAAAACTTACTCATAATGATGACTGAGTTTTAAGAGGTATTCCAGGTTCCTTGAAGGCTGACCAGCATTCTGCCTTCAATAGAGACTTGAAGACAAATACATGTGCAAGAAACCACATCCTGTCAGGCAGAAATAAAATACTGGGCCTACCCCTAAGTAGTTAACCATTACCTCATTCTTCTACAGGCAACAAAATCATTTACCCTAATTGTTTAATAAAGCCAGAATCAGTTTATGCTGGATACTAGGAATACTGAATGCTAATAACTGTGAATCAAAGCTTTTAAATGTCAACTTTTTTGGACTACAGTTCCTAGAATTCCCAGCCAGTACAGCTATTATCCACATCAAGTGGAAGATTTTAGATGTTGTTCAAAGAAGGAACATTTCCAAGCTCTGGTGAAGATCCATAAAGATTGTGACACATACTTTAATTACATCCAAGCGGGGCTACCTGTCGAAAGTGTTAGGAAACTTCAGCAGGTCCAAAATGCAGCAGCCAGACTGCTGACTAGGGAGGGTTACAGGGGTCACATAACCCACCCACCCCCCATTACGACAGTTCCACTGGCTGCCAATCTCTTTCTGGGCACAATTCAAAGTGCTGTTTTTAACCCTTAAAGCCCTAAACAGATTGAGCCCAAGCTACCTCAAAGACTGTGTCTCTCATTATGAACATGTTTGGGTACTAAGATCATCAGGAGAGGCCTTTCTGTCAGTCCCACCACCTTCACAGGTGCATCAGATGGAGACGAGACACAGGACAGAGAATCCTCTGCTGCTGCTGCTGCAAGACTTTGGAACTCTCTCCCACAGGAGGCCACACTTGCCCCAGCTTTGTTGTCCTTCTGCAAGCAGGCAAAGACTTTTCTCTTCAGGCAAGCTTTCCCTCAGTGAGTGGTTGCCTGAGCATAATCATTTTAGATGGATTGTTATGCACTACTGCTTTGACTGCGTTTTAGTATTGCCTGTGTTTCCCATTTCTAAGAGGAGTATTTTGTTTGTTCCTTTTAAAAATTTCTTTACTTAGTGTTTTTAGCTTTAAATATTGCCTTTTAATGATGTACACCACCTTTGTATATTGATTGTTTTGTTCTTAAATGTTATGGCTAAATGCTGTAAGCTGCCTTGGGTCCTTTTCTACAGTAAGAAGAAAATCAGGATAAAAATATTTGGGTTTTTTTGTTTTGCTGTTTTTGTTTATTTCAAAGTAGGTAGGTAGAAGCCAACAGTTCCTGACTCAGGATACAAAGAGTACACTTCCCAGCCTTCAGCATACGTATATACATGGAGAATGTCTATTATATACCCCATCTTTCCACTGGGGAACTCAACATGGTTCTCCCCAATTCCTATTTTACTTCATTGATCCTCTCATCAGTCTTTTGAAGGTGTTTAACCCAATAGATAATCTCGACTCAAGCCTCTTCTAGCTCTTTTGATAGCTGAGTGGTGATTAAAACCTGAACCGCTCCAATCCTGCATTCTAACCATTGCATCACGCTGTCCTACGAATGTTGAGTGTTCTCCCATAAAGTAAAGTACATTAATTATTGTTGTGATGGTTGTGTCAAATATGGCTGAGTCAATGTCATGAGCACTACTCCTCACTTATGAAAGCAACTCAATGACCAATTCCTGTTGCTGTCCCTCCCTCATCCTGCTCCTAATACTACTAAAGGAATAACTTGCCAATTGTAGTTGCCTTGTTTTATTTTTTCCCTTCAAGGCTAAAAATGGCAGTGGAAATGGAACCACATGTACCGTGTAGTGCAAAACTACTCAATATACCACTTCCTCCATCCCTTGAGCATTACAGCTGCTGGCTCTTGCTTTAACAAAAAAGGAAACTGAGCCAACCTTATGCATAGTTTTCATGGTGGCAGCACTATGAGGGCTGCAAATGGAGTTTCATTCTCCCTTCTTGCTGCCTCTAATCTAAAAGGAAAATGTGCTGAACTTGGTTCTCAAACAGGATAGGGCTATGGAGAAATTACGTCACTAACGTGACACTACAACAAGGAGAGGAGAGGAGCTGCTGGAGTTTCTAAGGTATCTTACTAATCCTGTGCAAGACTTCTTTTTGAGTGCAGGGCAAAGATTTGGTACCTGTGGGAAGAGACAAAGGTTATATCATCCTAAGAAATATAAATCCTATAGGCTCATATTATCAGTGCCAGAAGCCACACACACCCTTTAGTAAGACTGGGAAACAGACAATGGGAAGAAACAATGAATCAATGCATTTTGGATAGACCTGAAAAAGTCACTGTCCAATCTGGCCAAGTCAGGTTCCCTTGTCCCCTGAAGTAGAAGGAAAAGAGTTGCCATCACTTTATTCCAATTTTGCCTTTCCTCACCCCATCGTCCTGCTTTGCTTAGCCTGCTCCATATCCTGCCAGCAGTGGTCCCGCTGCCAAAGACCTGTCCTCTGCTGAAAGCACCACAAGCCACTCTGTGCACCTGGTGGTGCTCTACAGAGGAGGAGAAGCAGTCAGTAGTGCTGGGTAATGCAATGGGGGGAAAGAAAAGAAAAGTAGGAGGCATGGTCAAAGGCTGCAAGAGGGGGAAGGGCAGGGGTGCAGGATAAGGCAAGAGAGGAGGGAGTCAGGAAGGACAAGCTGTGACAGTGGCAGCCGAATGAGCAAGAAGGAAGGATGGGAAATGAGACAGTGGTAGCAGAGGTCCTCCAGAAAGAGGAAATTGTGATGTTTACTACTCATCACTAGGGTTGTAAAGAAAATGCATCAATATCTCATTCATGGTCAAGACAGGGCTGTCTCAGGAAAGGGAGATAACCTGTAGAGGATTTCCCAACCATTAGTTCTCATTTCCTGCTTGACAGTGAAACATCAAGTGACTTTTTCTCTCCATTATGGTTTGTGCAATTTACACAAAACATCTCTAGAGTCTTCCCCCATTCTGAAGTCAAGCACACTCACAGCAGACACAAAAGGGCAAGCAATTTGCTCACAAAGATACAAATTACCCATTTCATGCTTCTGTGTTTTTTTAATTTAAGCAACAAAAAGGCAGCTGTCCTTAATATTTTAGGTTTTGTATAAGTGCATAAAAATCAGTCTTGTACAATTCTTTCTCAAACCAGTGAAAGAACCCTCAAACTCTCATTAGAGAGAAAACATCTACTTTCTTGCTTAGCATACAAAAATGAACCATATCACAATTCACATCCCTGATCTTGGCAACAGCCCATCAGAGACTTGCCTTCATAGGCTGGCTCAGTTTCATACTTTGCCCCATCAATAGTCTTCAATTGCACATATACCGTATTTTTCGCTCCATAAGACGCACCTTTCCATAAGACGCACCAATTTTTTAGGAGAAGAAAACAGGAAAATATAATGTTTTCTTCGCTCCATAAGAGGCACAGATTTTCCACCCCCCTGTTTTGTGGGGAAAAAGTGAGTCTTATGGTGCAAAAAATACAGTAAGTCAAGTGTCATAAGAGGTGCCACCACATCCCTCCAAGAGGTTTGCTACTTACATTATATAGGTCATCTGCATTTTGAGAAGATGTATGTTCAGGAGGTTCTTTGCTTAACTAGAAAATGCAAGCAAACGTTGACATGCAATACTTCAAGTATGCACATATACATAAAGGCTTTTATTCATGTGTATAAATTCATATATGGTGTGCAAAAATGGATGAGATGTTTTCCTTTCTCATGGTATGAGAAACTAGGGTCAGCAAATGAAGTTGTGTGGAGAACCATTCATGAGAGATAAATAGAAATAATTCTTCATTCAGTACTCAACCAAACTGTGGAATTTGTTAGTGCAATATATAGTGATAACCATAACGCTGGAGACTTTAAAAGATGGATGGGATACATTAATGAAGGACAGGTCTCTTAGTGGCTTCTAGTCATGACAGATATAGGTTTTCTCCATCACCCAAGGCAATTACCGGAGAGTAGCAAGTGGTGGTGATGGTGCATTATTGCCCTTATGTCCTATTGGGAGGCTCTCCACAGATATCTCTGCTAGACATAATTATACACTGGTGAGGGAACATGTTTAGCAAAATGTAAGTAAATTTAATGAAAGGAACATGGCCCTATTAATATACACACTTCATGAATATGCCAGTCTATGCTAAAATAAAAAAAGCTAAAAGAATTTGAAATGTCTTCTGCATACCCAGTCCCTTTATGTACAAAAATGAATCTAAGTTTGTTAAATAAATGGATGAAAACTGCTTATTTGTTTGCTTTCTAGAAATTGATCATAGACTTTTGAGATCCTTTGCTATCTTTTCTCACTCTTTCAATTTTTTACTGGGACATACAAGGCCTTGGAATACCAACCCATTGAAACAGTGAACCTTGCACTTAGGATCTTGCCAGAAGAGAAATTCAACAAAACAAAACAAAAAATCTCAGCAGAGTGACCCCAGTCTGTGTTTGTTGTCTATTTCTGATCCTGTCCTCTCCGGACAAAAAATGGAGGGAGAGCAGCTAAGTCCATTTTTGAGGGAACTAAAAGCAGACAGAATTTTTAAAAAATGTTCCACCAATCAAGTCCAGTCACAGAGTAAGCAACTCATGATTTTGAGGAAAGCAGGCACTCACCTTTGCCTTTATGAAACATGCAGTGATGATTATAGCATAAATTAAGAGGATTCCATCCAGAATGAAGCATAGTTTTGGATCTGCTAGTCCTAGTGCATCAGCATCTGCATAAAAACATCAAGGGTAAGTTCCACAGCTTGGAAATAGTTTAATTTAACCAACTGTGTGTTAACTAGTTACTCTCATCTCCTAATGAGATTTCAGTTTGTTTGTTAACAGCACTCATTACATAACTTTGAAAGGGAATACTTACATTTGCCTAATTAGATAGTAGCATGCTGTCCCCTTTCCTCAACAAACTTAACAAGAATTTTTTTCTTAGCAGCTTTTACTGTTTCTCATGTAAACTGAATTGGAGGTTTTCCTTTATTATTCATTGTAGTGTTTTAAGAGGAGCTGGACCGTTGGAGAAGACTGCAAATGTCGGAAGCAGGAGGTGGTAGGAATTGAATTTGGGACCTTTGCAGCATGCAAAAAATTCAAACTGAGGAGGGATGTACTAGAGGATGAAGTAGGGATGTGCCCAGCAAAATCATTCATACTACTTTTGTTCTGGGTTCTTGGGGGGGGGATGCCTTTTTTACTTTCTTTATTGTGTACCACTTTCATGTTTAAGGGACATGGTGGCGCTGTGGACTAAACCGGAGAAGCCTTTGTGTGCTGCAGGGTCAGAAGACCAGCAGTCGTAAGATCAAATCCACGTGAGGGAGTGAGCTCCCGTCGCTTTGTCCCAGCTCCTGCCAACCTAGCAGTTTGAAAGCATGTCAATGCGAGTAGATAAATAGGTACCACCTCGGTGGGAAGGTAAACAGCATTCCGTGTCTAGCTGCACTGGCCACGTGACAACGGAAACTGTCTTCGGACAAACACTGGCTCTACGGCTTGGAAACAGGGATGGGCACCACCCCCTAGAGTCGAACACGACTGACTAAATGTCAAGGGGAACCTTTACCTTTACCTTCATGTTTTACATGAAAGACAAAGCCTTTTTCAGGCCATTCATTTTATGTTTCTCCATTTGTGTTTTCCCACGCTCCAAAATCTGAAAGAATCCTCAAAAACTACTCCAAAAAAGCATAGGCAAAGCAACAGAGACTCAATCCACAACAAAAGTGGGCAACAGTACATGAGAAGAGACAACAGTATATGTTCAGTGCCACCCAGCCAGTACAACAGACGATTTGGGCTTGGGCAGCACAGCAGAATAAAGGCAAGGAAGCAGCTAAACAGCAGCTGCCCAGCACACAGATATATCTACTCATCAGAGCAAGCAACAACAACACAACATCAAGAACAATAAGAGAGAAATACTCTAAATTGTGCCCAACCAACAACAATGACTACCCAAACAGCCAAGTGGGATACTGGCACTGTCAAAAGGTCCACCCTGACCCACACACCACTACAGAAACAAACAAAACAATATCCTAAAAACCACTCAACTATACACTTTAATGAAATAAATATGCAGGGAGCGAACCTGTTCCCTGAGTTTCTGGAGCTCCCTGCAAGGAGGACATATCTATGACTTTTGCTCAAGAGGCATATAGTCATACATATGACACTAGGGGCAAAACACAGGATAGCCCCCAATGCATTGTTGTCTGTCTGACTGCATGCTAATATTTATTTAGAACTTGCCAAACCTTGTATCAAGGGAAGTGACAAGCAGTATCTGGAGACCTGGCTTCCTTACCCTGTCGCTGAACCTACACAGCTGCTAAACTTGCTGTGTCTTCTTACCCTGCCTGCACTTTGTTGCAGGAGGCACTCATGTTCAAGCCATCCTTCTCCATCAGAGCTTTTTCCAGAGGCACTGCATTACAAATCCCACCATCCCTAGTCATCCACCAGATTGTGGGATTTGTAATTTTATTACAGCTGGAAAGACCCAGGTTAGGAAAGGGAACTTCAAAAATGTAACTTTTGAAGGAACCAATAACAAAATATGCCCCGTAGGGATTTTCTAGGCATCAACAACAAATTTAGTGGGGAATCAGAGTCAGGACAGAGTTGAGAAACACAACAATCTCCTCCATTCTGAAAGATTTCAACAGAACTGACTCAGAATTTCAGACTCCATTTCTGATCTTAGAGGTACAGTGCTATCCTTATGCAACAGAAATAACAAATGGAGTAAAAGCTTTAAAGGAAGAAGCAATACTCAGGCATCCATTCCAAATAAATGTAGTTATACTTATATATAAACCAAATAAATTTAGTCATACTCAGGTCCTAGGGAAAGCGATGCTAATTAGTAATAAATTAGTTACAAGTAACAGATTGCCACTCTGGAAAACTCAAACACAGCATGGCCCCAGCAAGGGAGAAGTTTCTTTTTCTTTTTCTTTGTTTTGGTTTTTTGTTTATACTTTCTCATAGGATTTTATATTCTAAAACCTTTTCTTCCCCATTGGCAGCAACAGCAGCAAATGTCAACTCTGCTAAAAAAAAAGAAACTGTCATGCCTCATCTGTGAATGTCCAAAGATTGGACAAAGAGATCACAAAATTATACATGATGGAGTGGCAAAATTAGTGCACAGGTCATTATGCAAAAAATATAACTTGCCAGGCTAAAAAACAAACAAACAAACAAAAAGTGGGGGGGAGTGGCAAAATTAGTGCACAGGTCATTATGTAAAAAAATATAACTTGGCAGGCTAAAAAACAAAAAACAAACAAAAAGGGGGGGAAAGGGCCATCAGTTAGAGAAGGTGTCAGGAAATTAAAAAGTCAAGATCTTGTGGGATTTCCAGATCCAAACTGATAGACACCTTGAACATAACAGTAATAGGATGAAGAGATGTCAGGATCACTGACATTGCAATTCTAGGGGATGCCAGAGTTGAAGATAAAGAACTGGAAAAATCAACAAAATAAAGAGATCTGGCAATTTAAACATCTCACTTGTGGATGAAATACACTTCAGTGGTCCTCATTGTCATCGGGGCTTTGAGAACAATACCACAGAATTTCACGTAGTATTATAAGCAGTTGCAGATTTCAAAAATGAAACAATAAGAATGATAAAAAACCCAGCAATATTAGGGACAGCATAAATACGGCACATATATTTAACAGATACTTAAGTTATTGGTTAAAATTTGTACCTGTTATATAATATCAGTCAATGTTTTTATAATTTTGATTCACTGTGCCTGTTATTTTTAAATAATCATAATAAGTGTGCCATCAAGTCAATTCTGACTTATAGCAACCCTCTCCAGGGTTTTCTAGGCAGAGAATACTCAGAAGTGATTTACCATTCCTTCTTTTGGGAGCATCCTGCAACTGGTACCTAAACCACTGAGCTATCCAGCAACTGCAAACAATGGGAAAGGTAATTATTTACACCAGCTCTAGGACTGGCATGTCAAGAATTTGCTAAGCTTTTACATGCTGGTGATCCATTTATTCCCATCTCCCTATGCCAGAGTTGTTTTTAAAAAGCAACTTATTTCATTACGTTTTTTTTGTTTCTTTTGGTTCATCTAGAATATTCATCTCTTGGGGTTATTGCATCCTGGGGAAATGGCGTCTTACATTGCCCATTATGTGCACATTGGCCCTAGGGCATTATCACTGCAATACTGAAAAATGGGGGGAAATGCTCTAGATTCCTCCCAAGAAAATCCCCTAAGCACTATCCTCATCCCTAGCAGTAAAAAAATACAAATACCTTATTAATAACATTAGTAAAACAAATAACAAATAATTTGTTGCATTTCATGTAGCTAAAATCTGCTTCCTGAGCTCAGGAGAACATTTTCCATTCTGTTCATCAGCAGCTTATTTGCAGATTTTATGCACAAAAAACATGTGAGTATATAGATCCATGATCCACAGTTATAGCCTGCTATTTCCTTATAGTAATTAACATATTTGAATCTTACTATGTTGTATAAGCGACTTAAAATTTATTCAGAGGGACTGAATAGGAAATAAGGCCCATGGATCTTTAGCTATCTCATATCCTTCATTTAAAAGACAAGGAATTCAGCTGCACTAGTCTGATGGACAAAGTGCTTAAAGGAAAACTGCATTACTTGCATCAGTAGAGCAAAAAGCGAATATGTTACCCTGAAAACATCAAGCTTGCCAAGAAGGTACTGCTAGCTAAGCAAAGCACTTGACTTTGTGTCATATGATCTTGTGCACCAATTAGAGAGTTTTCTATCCTATTAAGTCGACAGAAGCAAACCCACTGAATTCAGTGGGACGGTGACCGAATACCGAATACTCTCACAGCACATGATCAAATTGCTTGTAGTCTTAAGTAACAACCTACCTTCTCATCCTGGAGGTCTATGGGTTAATGATTGGGAATGATCATGAGCATCCTTTTCTGATTTGGTTTGGGGTACAGTTCAAGAGATGGATAGGAGGCAGTTAACAGTGGGGACAAAGACAAGGGGGAAGAGGAAAAACCAAAAAAGATCCTTCTATATCAGTCTTGGGGGAAAATGCCTGGTGAGCTTTGCAAATATCATTGGGGCAGAAAAGTGTTCCACTCCTTTGGGTATCCTATAGCTGACTCCCTAGCTCCCCTCATTGTCTCTCCCAGAATCCATTTACTTCCCTTCATCATCTCTTCTTCATCAAGGGATGGCTTTGCTTATCACTGTCCACTCACTCACTCTCAGTCCTTGTTTTGTTGTGCTATCTGATTCTTGATACCTGCACAAAGCCTCCTCTACAAAAACAGACAACTGAGGCAGCCGCACAGCATGAACCATTCTTGTGGTTCTTCCTCCCTCACTGCCTAGGCCATCTTCTGTCAGTAACAAGAAACAGGCAGACACATCCATTTTAAATTCCACTGAAGAGTACTGAATTACAGCAAAGGCATTTAGAAGAAAGAAAGCTTTTTTCCTGTCATATCCTGATTTGGACAACTGACTCCCCCAGGAGTCCTTTAAAGATTTGTAGACCTCAATGGCAAAGAGAATAGATTCTATGATTCATGGTAGGTTACATTATCCCAGTAAAGAGTTAATACCAGAATGAAACTGAATAATCAGTCACAAGCTATATGTAAAACTTCTCTGGGTATCTCATTATAAGTGTCTCCATTGTTGCATTAATTCTAGGCCACTCCAGGG